ATAAAAATGACATTAAAAGCCACAGACAGATGATAGGTCTTTAATATTCATAAGGACCCGAACCAGGTCAAGATTTTTAAAGATTTTTTTATATCGCCTACCATTCCATGTCAAACTTTAAGATGATTAAAAAATGCTGTAGATCTACAATGCATTATATTTTTTACTTGTTTTCCGCCCTGCCGAAAGGTTTCCCAATCAGAATCCGTAAACCAAAAACATAAATGAAAATGGAACCCGCTGTGTTATACAAGTGGTTTAAGGGAATAATCATGAATATAATCTGGTTTAAGGGAATAATGATGAATATAATCTGGTTTAAGGGAATAATGATGAATATAATCTGGTTTAAGGGAACAATCATGAATATAATCTGGTTTAAGGGAATAATCATGAATATAATCTGGTATAAGGGAATAATCATGAATAAAATCTGGTTTAAGGGAATAATCATGAATAAAATCTGGTTTAAGGGAATAATCATGAATATAATCTGCAACATTATTTGAAAATGGGGATGTTTGTCACGTGAAACAGTGATGGCTCAAGAGATAACCAAATGGCTAGAGTTTAAGTGCGTACTACAGGCACGTGTTATTCGCAATTGTAATTAAATCCGGTTAAATAAAAAACGCCAACGCCATAGAACAACGTGTCTCCATCACCTACAGAAACACATTCCACTGGGCGCCAAAGGTAAAATAGCGGCTAAAACCACATGAACAGATCTTTGAAAGTCAGTGATGACACCAGGTGTTCGCAAAAAGAGTAAGCATGTCCTGCTCTGTCGGTATCTCCGCCACTCACACAAACACTTTTTATGAGTTATTATGTGCTAACTAAAACTGACTATTGCTTAAGTAGAGGAATAAATCAGAAAAATGCGCTTTCAAAGTGCGTTCTTATCTATCCGCTGAAGAACATGTCCGCTAAAGAACCAGACAGTGATAAAGATGAAGGATAAAGTGGATAAAGTAGAAAACAATTAGATCACCAAACTCAGTACGTAAATTGTGTTTAAACAATCAAGATAGATGATGACTGTTAAGAGTGTGATGTAATTTGAAGTAGACCTGGTTCGCGTTACCCGAAGTGCTGTCAGTACGTGTAGAACGTCACGTTACTCACAAGCCGTATAACGGTTTCAACCCCTTTGATGTAATGCTATAGGCGGGCAGCGGAGTTAGTTGATGAGTAGGAGGGCCGATCACATGTGAACGGGGTCCAGATCACGTGCAGTTGGTCTGTGACTTGATCATATGTAAATATGGATGTCGTTGAGATAAATATATATTACCTGTATAGTTTGTAAGGTACCAGTTGGTAAAACAGTAAAACATGTGTTGGACGTGATGGAATGTGTGATATGTACATAAATTATCGATGTCGCAATACATAGTACATATATATATATTAGACAGCTGTGTAATAAATCTCAAAGAACAATGAAGAACGAAGCGTGGTTTATTTCACGATATAACATTGTTCTATCAACAACACCTGCGCCCATCATGGTTTATTCTCCCTGCAGTGTTTTCTTGTACAATAAACAACTCCCACTTGTCGTTTATTTGTAAAATATAATTACAGAAACTTGTTAACTTGAAGTCTTCGTGACAAACATGTGTATCAAGTTATCTATAGAACCAGACAAGCTGATTCTGGTGAGATGAGGTGAAATGTGGTTTAAGAGTATTGCATTTCTGTAGCGACGTGAGTGCATTAGGTTGGTTAAATACCTCAAATAGAAAATGAGAATTTATTAATTCAGAAGGCGTGAAATATTGTTATTTTAATTATTTTTTTATATATTTTATATCAGCTCTATATCGTGTTTACGTGTCATGTGTGACAAGGTCAATATGTATGGTAAGGAGAATTAAGATTTTCGTATTAATTGTTTTTGCTAATTTGTTTTAAAACAAACAATGCAATAACAAATGAAGTATATAATAAATATGATATTTCATGTGTCTGGTGAAATATGATGTATCTCTCATCTCGTGACGAGCAGCATTCGCGAAACTATACATCATATGAGAGATGCATCATCTTTCACAAGACGCATGGAGCTCCTCTCTATATAAATGCTCTTATCGGGTTAGAGAGAATGGGGTACTGTAATTGTTATGCATTATTGAGGCAAACAAACTATTACTTTATTTATGCAAGTTATGGCTGAGGGGTGTACAGGTACACCAGGACATGAGTGCCCTTTTCGCGAACACCTGGTGTCCTTGCTGATTTTCAGTGATCCATTCCTATAATTCTCCAATATTTGCCCTTTCCGCCCCATGGAATACGTTTTGGCAGATAACCGAGGCTGATTACTCTCGGTGGTTGACGTGTTGTATTTACATAGTACACATCCGAGAATTCATAGCATTGATTTCATGACCCCTAGCAACCGAGCTTCATGTTAACTGCATCCTTCAACATGCACGACGCCTAGAAGACACATGCATGTGTTTACCCACGGCTGTAAGACACCCATGAGAGCCAAATGTCACCCCAGGGACAATCTCACCGTGCTTACACAACGTATTACCTGATCAATGTCTGGCAGCAACTTATTTCACTACCTGTCACCTGTCCATTAGCCAGTGCCGGTCGATACACTGATTACATAGAGATGTTATAGCACGACTGGTGATTAAGTAGTAGCATTGCTTGTCACGGGCGGAAACTTGTAGCCGCACCAGTTCCCTATTCACTTCAACTTTAGTGAAGCACACTTGTGTCGGATTTACCATTGTGTGGAATCGGCATTTACTGCATGGAGCTCTTGCGTTACAGATCCGCAAGTCAGTCTTTGAGCCGTGGCGAGAGGCGTGCAAACATGGCGACGTTGTGAAAGACGTTTTCATTCGCCCTCCTACACGCCCGGAAACACTGCGTTATTTTCACGTCATCTTGTTTCCATGATATTTAGAGCATTGACAAGAACGTTCGTGTTTAAATGTGAATCAATTAATGGCGTTATTGCCAATAGAGTTTAAAATGTCAAGTTTGGCTTCTTGAAGATATAATCTTTACTATTGAAGTATGACTGAGCTGACATGATGTTCTGGAACGACTGAGAAGGAAACAGGATTTCGAAGAATGTCTGGGTTTATTTTATAAAGAGGTTAGATTGATTGATTGAGTATGGTTTTACACCGCTTTTAGCAATTTTCCAGCAATATCACGGCGGGCGATCCCAGAAATGGGCTTCACACGTTGTACCCATGTGGGGAATCGATCCCGGGTCTTCGGCGTGACGAGCGAACGCTTTAACCACTAGGCTACCCCACGGCCCGAAAGAGGTTAGATTGGGCACGTAAGACACAGTGGTTGAAGGCGCCGAAATTGTGTTGTGAAGGTAGTTCACTGGTGGCCCGTTCGCCTAAGGCGATCACTGGATCCTGGAACTACTAAGGGACAAAACTCTATCAAGCAAATTGGAACGCCTTAGATCATTGCATCACCCATGCCCCATCTATCATCTTCGCGGTCCTATCGTCCTTGACATAATTGAAATACTTTCGTTAGTATATATATATATAAGAGATAATTTCTAAATTATGAGAAATTTAAAAACAAATATGGCATTTTTTTCATAGCAGGGTATAAATAATTCAATACTAAATCATGTTCGGAAGCTATTGCCATGAAAAATAAATGTCCGGAAGCTCAGTGTTGATCTAACAAAACGTCTCCAAGACCTGGGTTTCCTTTGCATGCATTTTGACCTTACAAACTTACAAAAAAATGTAATAATCCCAACTAAATTAATATTTAATGAGAACAAATTGTTATAATAAACGGGAACACCTACTACGCTGAAGCTATGATGATAATTACGTCTTCTGACGTGACTTGTAATGGGATGTCCTCGTCGATAGCAAGAACTTGTATCTGATTTTAATAAGATTGAGGTAATCCAAGCATGTGAATTATCCTGTTATCTTTATTTAAAGCATTAATTGTTTATTGTTAAGCAAGTTTATCGCTGCAGCTTTGTAATATGCAGCTACCAGCCGACTCGCCTCGCATCAAAACACGGGCTGTGTACTCGCGGGCAGATGACCACGGAGTACGCTGATCACTGTGTCGGTTTAACGAGACTGATTAATGAGTGATTTCAGCAATTCGTTGCAAATTAGGTGTGTCGGAGTCGGAGTGCGAGACTGTCGGATTAGCGGGTCTAAAGAGCACTGATTTAATCGGTTCCCATCATTGGTGTCGGATAAAGCCGATTGTCGGATTAACGAGTCTTGACTGTATTTGGAAACTCGTAATGTAGTGTCTTTAGCTGTACACAACGTGTTAACATCAGATGGTTCCAGCAATGTAGTACATGATATGTTGACTACAAATAGTTGTCTGCATACTGTTGGGTATTACAACTCTCCTTCATGTAAATCACGTGAAGCCTGCACTAAACACATGTGCTGAAAATAGGGAGGGATTTGACAAGATGGTTGGAAAATATTGACGAAGGAAAAATCTGTTTTGACACCGAAAAAGCAATGTTTATTTGTGTATATATCTAATGTTTATTTATTTGTGAGTGTGTAACGCAAAGGGAGAAATAATAAAATGAAATAAAATAAAAATATTAATAAATAAATCAGTTTGAGAGCTGAAATTGTGCGTAGTTGGCAAAAAAAATACCGGGCAAAAGAAAGTATACACCCATGTTTGATGGTGGCTAAAAATGAAGCAAACAAGAAATGGTATACAATGGCGATGTATTTGATACGGGTATCATAGTTGTGTTTTGGAGCTTACGTTTACAGTGTTTCTACAACTGCTTTCAGCCCAATAACGTTTTGATAACGTTTGTAATTTGTTGGTCAAATTCAATTTTGAAGTTCTTTTACTTTCTTTTTCCCCGGCGTATTTGCCAACTAAGCACAATTTCAGCTCATATTTGATATTTTATCATTATTTTAGAATTGAAAATATGACCCGCATTATACATCTTTGAACCAACAATAACTTCATGTATGTTTCAGTTGCTTGTGGCGTTAGAAGTGGCGCTGGTCATCTTGCGAGAGAGGATGCGAGGCCCGGTGAAGTCCCCGGTGGGACAACAGACTACTCACAGCGGAGAAGGGGGTGAGTCTCTCTCTGTCTGTAGGTGCCACAGTGCTAGATGTTAGAGACCCACTATTTACTTCTTGAACCTCGTACGATTTGTTTGAATAGAACAGAATAAGTTATCCACCTTTGCCACAAGACGTATAATGTGAACAACATTTTTTTTTATTAATCATTAGACTATTTTGACATTCAGCATGAAAGCAAAGCATCTTGTTTTCGTTTCCAGTATTCGACTAATACCGAAATCGGGTGGTCAGTCGTTTCTGTTGTTTGTTTTTGTTGTTTTGTTGTTGTTTTTTTTGGGTTCGAATCCCGGTTCGCCCCGATAATGTTTCTAGGTTTGTCAGCACCATACCCGTGTTCGTTGGTTTCACCGAAGTGGTAAACGTCTGAGACCTGCATCACTTCGGGCTTTCCTCCCACATTCAGCTGACGCACCGTGACATAAATGAAATGCTGTTCAAAGCGGCGTTAAACCCAACTCGCTCACTCACTCACCCAGATGACGTGGATCAGGATCATTGCTTATGATCCGCCAATGTCCATGCACGATATTGTACGGGCCGCAGTGATATGGATGGAATGTTGCTGACTGCGGCGTTATATACCATTCCTACACTCACTATAAAAGTCATGGAAACTGCATAGGCAGTGTTTAGATATGCAATAATGTATGTTGTAGTGCAGTGGGTTTTCGCGTAGCGTTTAAGATTATTACACTTATATAAGCGAGACGTGGTGTGAAGCGGACAGTGATAGTAAGACGTTTTCATTGGTATTAAAGGATGGTATCTGAACCAAATATATGATGTCCAAATGTATTGATGAAGAAGTTACTTTTAGTCAACTGGGGCGGCGGGTAGCGTCAGCTGGCATGCCGAATGTCAAGGTTCGATTCCCCACATTTGTACAATATGTGAAGCCTTTTCTGGAGTCCGCTGTCGTAATATTGCTGGTTTATTCTTAAAGGCGGATTTAAACCATTATCACTTACTTACGTCGTCAAACGTGTCCCTCCTTGGTGTAGTAGATAGAGCGTCTGACAGGAATGCGGAGGGTCGATGGTTCGATCCCCGGCCGCGTGATACCAAAAGAGGTTAAAAGATGGTACTTGTTGTTACCCTGTCTTGCCCTCGACAGTAAGGGTATAAAACAAGGACTGGTCGGCTCGGAGTCAGTGAGCTGTGTCTGAGTGGAGTATTCATGTTAAACTGCGGCATGGTATCTCAGTGGGCTACGACTACAGCAGCCCCCCCCCCCCCCCCCCCCCCCTACACACACTCACGCACGCACACACACACACACACACACACACACACACACGCACGCACGCGCGTGCACGTCATTACACAAGTGCAATAATCATAAACGCGACGTTAAACCCTATTTCACCTCACCTCCATTACGTATTTCAGGTTGTAAATGTAAGGTAGCTAGCTGTACGTCATCTTGTGGATCGACATATAGCGATAAACAAAGAATAACCTAAATCTCCTTCAAACGGACCCTTACTTTGATGAAGTCTTTGAAGGCTGGTTTAGTTAAAACATGCTGCAGATTAAAATAAGGCTCCTTTCATTCCACACAGTCTCAAAGGGACCTTCTTACAGTTCCGTCGGTTGCAGTGGGATTTCAATGACTGGAATCGGTTTACAATGGCTCGTCGTGACAAGGCTGTCCCTGGGGACAATCATTTGTCTCCGTGTTCAAACAGGGTGGCGGAGATTGTGTGAACAAGAAATTGGGTTTCTTTGAAAGCCTCTTGTCTGGTGGTAGATAGTGTCACTTCTGGCTTTCCTCTACGTTTTAAGGCTGACGAATAGCCGTTATAATTAGATTTATCAGAATTTGTGTTAGGGTAAAAATATTTTTCTTAAATGATGGGCTTACGCTTCGTAGTTTAAGGAAAATGCTTCATCGTGCTGTATTACACAAGATAATGGATGGCTTGTCAGTTGGTATTGGTAGACTGTGGTTGTAGGTCATATAACTCTAGCTGGTATAAGGGTGAGGGAGTGTGAATTGAGCCGTTGTCAGCAATATTTCAGCAATATCACGAGGGGGACACCAGGACTTGGCTTCACACACCACCAATTTTGCAAATCGAACTTTTGGGTGATGAGTGAACGGTATTACCACTAGGTACCCCAACCGATCCTGACCTTTGGAATTGTTTGTAGAAGTTTACAATACATCCGCAGTGACATTTATTATGTTGTTGACAAAACCGAAACTGATAGCAGAGAATGACTTTGGAGACATAATCACGTTATCTAACTACGAAACATGTTAAATACGTCCCCTCCAAGATGACACTTTGTCTTCTGTGTAGCAGCGGGAAGGATATCACAAGAGTTCCTTCAAATAACGGATGTCACCTTCCACTAGCTATCTTGTGGGCTGACAGTTTGACTCTCACACATACTTGTCACTAAGTTCTGCTTCCGAGCCCACGGTGTTATTCAGTAAGAAGAAAGTTATAATAGTATCGTTGTAAAATGCACAGGTTTATTATCATCAGCTACTTCTAAATAAAGATAGGCAATCTAAAGGATCAAGATCCCAGTGAACACTGACAATTATCACTAATTCAACTAGACGATATATACAAGCTGATTTGCTAAGCAACTGTATAACAGCTAAGAAAGTGCATTTATGGATGTCAACTTCTTTATTATGAGGAACACAACGTTTCGGGGTATATTCTTACTCCGTCACCATCCTTCATTCACCAGATGAAGGAGTAAGCATATACTCCATTAGTTCTCTTCCTTATGTGTATCACTTCTAAATGACATTCAAAGACTTGTATAACAGCTGTAACAAAAGATAGCTAAATAAACACTCTGACAAAACAATCGACAAGATGCACAGACAGTCAGCCGTGACCAATTAACACCTGAGAGCTAATTAACTCAACACTCTAATGAGTAAACAACCTCGGCTTGATTAGATAGGGAGAAATGAGCACTGAGAGCCTATCCCTATAACGTGTCTCTTTTAAGATAGACGATAGGTAATCTTGTACTGCAGGTGGATTTGTCTGATCTTCTTGTATTGTAGGTGTCGCTGAAGGTAGATTTGTGTGTAGGTCTTAGATGGATTTGTGTGTAGGTCTTTCTGTAGGTCTAACATGGTCTTCTTGTATTGTAGGTGTCGTTGAAGGTGGATTTGTGTGTAGGTCTTAGATGAATTTGTGTGTAGGTCTTTCCGTAGGTCTAACATGGTCTTCTTGTATTGTAGGTGTCGCCGAAGGTAGATTTGTGTGTAGGTCTTTCTGTAGGTCTAACGTGATCTTATTGTATTTTAGGTGTCGTTGAAGGTGGATTTGTGTGTTGGTTCTACTGTAAGTCTAACATGGTGACTGTAGATCTAACATGGTGTTCTTGTATTGCAGGTGCGACTGAAGGTGGATCTGTGTGTTTGTCCTACTGTAGGTCTAACATGGTGTTCTTGTATTGCAGTTGCGAGTGAAGGTGGGATGGCCTGGGTCAGGAAGTGTTGCGCCTGTAGTCCCCGAGATGTGTTTCTGATAACGCTCCTCGCCTCCATCTCCGTCTTCCTCTTTGATGGTTTACAGGTGAGTGGTTTAGATGGAGTTTAAATCACTCTATACATTAAATCAAACAGAAATATTTCTGCGATTCAGATTCATGCGGAAGAAAAGCAAAACGTCACGTATGCCATATCGGTTTACCACTTTTGCGAAAACCCACGATCTCAGGATGGTGTTGATAAACCAAGGATAATCTGAAATCCTGGCACGCATATAGGACGCAAGTTTGCCAAGCCAAACATCACTTGCCCTGTCGTGTCGCCAATGCTTGCGGATGAGACAGTGACAGGCTTCAACAACGTCAGCGACTACTACTGCAACGCTGAAAATATATAGCATTGACGTTTTTGGTGCTTTTGTTTGTTTTGTTTGGTGCAAACAATGTTTAACCAGCACCTCCCCATTACATTCTGGTCTGAACAGGACCTATTTCATATTACCTATTATATTTGAATGAGGATAAGGTGACCTCAGTGTTGGTCTGGTTGGTAGTGGGTTACTCTACCACAATGATGTGGACTACTGTTCATCCACAAACATGATGATGTGCATTTTCTTCATCCATCAGCCTCCCCCTACATACCTCTGTCTGCTGTCTTATATTATAGGCGCCGCAATTAGCTGTGCGGAGTTGCGTCCCTTGGACACGCCAGAAATATATTATTGTGGGTTCGAATCCGGTTCTCCCCGATTAGGCTCTTTTAGCACTATACCCGTGGTAACTGTTGACTTAAGTGGTAACTGTCTGAGATCTGCATCACTTCGGGCTTTCCACCCACATTAAGCTGACACGCCATGATATAACTGGAATACTGCGGTGTTCAATCACTCACTCACTCACTCTCTCTGTCTTCCTCTTCAGTCCACGTACGCCAACTACATCTACACCTACGCCCACGAAGCCAGCGTCAAGTCTCTACAGAAATTCGAAGGTGCTATTCTAGATGCCTGCTTCTGGGTGAGTATGTCCCAGTCATCAATACAGGGAACCCTGCGTCACAGAAGCCACATTTGGGCTGGTCATTGATGAATTAGGCTCTGAAGCCTTAAACTATACATCGTTAGGGGCCGAGCATTTGATATTCTGGATTTGCACCTAATGCTGAAAAAACATCTAATCCCAATAACTACTACTACTACTACTACTACTACTACTACTACTACTACTACTACTACTACCACTACTACTACTACTACTACTACTACTACTACTACCACTACTACTACTACTACTACTACTACTACTACTACTACTACCACTACTACTACTACTACTACTACTACTACGACGACGACGACGTCTACTACTTCGACGACTTCTACGACTACTACTACTGTCACTACTACTACTACTACTACTACTACTGTAGATATATTTTACAATGTCCAAACAGGTATTCTATTTCTGGATCAGCATTAGATAAATAATTAGTTGTATTTCAGATGAATTATTATTATTATTATTATTATTATTATTATTATTATTATTATTATCACACCAACATTTATTTTGCAGGGTATGTTTGCACTCGGTCGACTATTGTCTGTCCCGGCGGCTGCGAAGTTGACCCCCAGCTTCATGCTACTGTTCAGTATTGTAAGTACGCCCGCTATCTCTCTACCTATTGTCTTCCCACCGAGATCGATGCCGCCACATGTTGCAGGCCGCAGTATATATGAAGCTTGTGATTTGTTGTCTTTCCGGACATGGTATTCTTGCGTCCATTGGAACATCTGGGGCGCCATAAAAGCTTTACTGAAATAAAAAATCCATAAAATATATAAGGCTAATGGTGTTGGCAAGGGAACGATCTATACGACTGCTGCATACAGAATGAGACAACTGGTTGCTTCCTGCTGTAAAGTACGACTTTATGATGATGTAAATTAGGTATGGTGATATGTTACGTTTACTCTGCAGAAAGAAGACACGTAAAGCACATGTGTCCTCGTTAAGCGGACATAACGTACGTAAACCAATCGAATGGGCATATCTAACTCATCCTCGTTAAATGGCTTAACGTGCGTATCCACAAATAACGTATGTATCTTAAAATAGAGGGCAGTATGCTCGTGTCCCAAAAGAGAAGGTATGACGTACGTGTCCTAATATAAAGGGCATGACGTACGTATCCTAATATAAAGAGCACAATGTTCGTATCCTAATATAGAGGGTATGACGTACGTGTCCTAATATAAAGGGCATGACGTACGTTTCCTTATATAGAGGGCATGACGTACGTGTCCTAATATAGAGGGCATGACGTACGTGTCCTAATAGAAAAGGCATGACGTACGTGTCCCAATATAGAGGGCATGGCATACGTGTCCTAATATAAAGGCCATAACATACGTATCCTATTGTAGAGGGCATGACGTACGTGTCCTAATATAAAGGGCATAACGTACGTATCCCAATATAAAGGTCAAGACGTACGTATCCTCGTATAAAGGGCATGCCGCGTGTATCCTAATATAGAGGACATGACGTACGTGTCCCAATGTAAAGGCCAATATAAAGGGCATAACGTACGTATTCTAATATAAATGACTTAGCGTACGTATCCTTGTATAAAGGGCATAACGTACGTTTCCTAATATAAAGGGCATAACATACGTATTCAAATATAAAGGCCATAACGTACGTATCCTACTATATAGGGCTTGGCGAATGTATCCTAATATAAAGGGCTGCTTATACGACTCAGTCAGGGCACAGCGTACATCTCATGAAGGGAATACCGTATGTTCATCCCCTGATATATACTGTATATATAACGGATTGTAACACGGACATTTACCAGCACGGCCCGAGGTGTGGCTGGAATGTTCTGAGCCTAACTATAAAGGACTGTGTTGATGGCGTTTGCTACTAATTATTTTTCAACATAAGAGCCTGGTATAGAAGGCTTCCTCCAGGTGGTGCAAAAGCACGTCCTAAGCAGAAATGACGTCATCATCATTTGCATAATGCTTGCCAGTCTGAGACAATTCTTTCTTCAATTTTTGGAAGGGGTGGGAATCAAACGGTGCCCAAATTCTTGTGAATACAGAGAATGTTCAATGAGCTGAAGGCCATAGTAATGCATTGCAGCCACGGCGCCAACTGACTTGTGCACGGATGCATTATCCTGGTAGAAAAACATACCTTAAGAGACTTTTCCGCAAAGGCTAGCCTTGATATTCTAACGCAGTTATCTAAGCAGATTAGCGTAATGTTGGCCATTTATGGTCTGGCCTTCTTGGGGACCCATCAGTGGGATACACTGGAATCCCAGGGGCGGTTCTGATCAGGATTCAGAAGCCTCGAAAGCCAGCGTGATGAAACCTTGTTATGACCATTTCATTCCTCGGAATGTGCTCAGCTCCCTCATGAGAGATGCCTACCGTAGTGGCTGTGTGACGTGTGGCGAATCGTCCATCATCCATATTCATAGCGTATATTTTATCAACATTATCCTTAGTGGTGTCAGTTGAAGGTCTTCCTGATATTGGATCATCTTCGAGGCTCTCTCTTCTCCTCTTGAATTCCACTGCCCACCTCTAAACAGTCACAAAGGAAGTAGTCGACACCATGTCGGCATAGATGGCTGCTGGAGTTAGCCCTTTCAGTTGGAGATACTCGATGACAGCACAGTAGCCAGTTTAGTCCAGTTTAGTCCATGTCCATTAACAAGGAATAGTCACTTTGATGCCTGCAGAAATATGCTGCAAGGTTGTGTATTTGCTTCCAATACAGCAAAGTAAGCATGGGTGATACTGTTCTTGCAATGCAAACAGTTAAGTGTGTACGCAACATCCGTCGTAGTTAGGCTCAGAACTTTTCAGTCCCTCCTCGCATTGTAATGACACTGGCGTGACGTTGGTATTCTCAATAGTCATGTGCCATGTGTATTTTTCACACTTATCACTGGTGATTGGTGAGTTTTACGGTTTGGTTATTTTACTCTCTATGTTTTAAACCCAAATAAACAAAGAGAAATCAGTGTAAAGCTGCTGTTAACAAAAGCGACAAAAGTAAATCATTTCCATAGTCATAAGAAGTTTTCTGCGAAATGCAGAGGCCATTGTACGATTGTCAACAATGCTTCCAGTCATCGTCGTACAGTAGCACCACTCAATGGGGTGACAAAACTCGCAGCATTTATGATCAGTTTTTGGTTCATTGTCATTGGCGCTTTAGAACAAGTGGTCAGATGATTAAGTTCTACACTCAACAGAACATATCATCAGCGGTGGGTATGGGCATTTCATGTTCTTTAGTATTACTTTGGATTTTGAAGTTGATGCGTCGCGACTTAGCTTCGCGACGTACGTTTCCAGTCTCCGGTGTTAAACGAATATCGCTTTCGGGGTGAGTGAGTGTCTACGAGAGTATTTTAGGGGACTATGTTTAATTTCCATACAAGATCTAAACATTTCAATTAGTGACTTTTATTACCGTATTATACGTTAATAGTGACTGTATTTCATTCTGCACATTGAACAACTGACTTGCCTTTGCATGTGTTTGTAACGGGTGCCACGGATGGGGCTGTATACGGTCAGCTTTCTTTTCCCTATTTCCCAGAACCCCTATTACCATCACTATGTGATTCATAAACACATGCTTATGATGTGAACGACGGGGCGACAGGGCGGAAGGAAGTATACACCCGTGTTTAATGTTGGCTATAAGTGGCTGGAAACCAGAAATGTTATATTGATGGTCATGTATTTGATACAGGTGTCTTAGTTGTGTCTTGGACCTGAAATTTGCAGTGTTTCGGTGACTGTTTCTAGTCAAGCAACGTGTTGATCACATTTGTAATCTGTTGGACAAATCCAATTTTCAAGTGTATACTGTCTTTTGCCCGGCAGTGTATTGCCAACACTGCACAATTTCAGTTCATGTTTGACCCACAAATGACAGTTTTAATGACTTCAATCATATATGCTACGCCTGCCAATGGTCCGAACCCGGTTCTCCTTAACGGTGGTCCTGTGTTTCAGGTCGGCTGCAGCCTCGCTCTTGTGTTCACACTCATCTTTAGATTCAACCACGTCTCCATCTACGTCGGCACGATTTTCGTTGGCCTGTTCGTCAGCAGCATGTCTCCGTCGGCGCTGTCCCTCACGGAGCAGTTCATTGACATGAATTGTGAGTGTCGTCAAACAGCGTCATGTTTTAATCATTTGTCAATGAACCTGCTCCTTTGCTGATAACCAAACCTGTCGTCTCAAAGTAGTGTTTTGTAATTACAAAATGTCCTTATCGTAACTCTGGTACCATACATATTTAATTCACTTAATATATTTCTATATTTCTATATCAATACTATTATGAATAATTAAACTCAAAGCTATTTCATTTGTGAAGTTGGTTATCTTTATGTCATCCCATCAGAAAGCCTTCAGTGTTAAAGTATATCATACAGACATTCAAGAGACGGTACATCTGACCTATCCGGGGTAGAATAGGTCTTCAGCAACCCTTGCTCGTCTTAGGAGGCGACTATGCTTGTCGTAAGCGGCGACTAACGGGATCGGGTGGTCAGGCTCGCTGACTTGGTTGATGCATGTCATTGTTACCAAAGTGCGTGGATATAATGCTCATGATTTCACTGGATTGTCTGGTCCAGATTCAATTATTTTCAGACCGCCGTCATATAGCTGGAATATTGCGAGTGCGGCATTAAACAACAAAAGCATGCCTTGGTTTTTTGGTTATGTAATGTGTTAACATGTCCTGATCTGGCGTCCTTGATTTGAGACCGCCTTGATGATCTCCTTCATATGAACATTTTAGTGTAAGAATTACTTGACCTTCACCTCTGTTCTGCAGCATCCATCACGACGTGCCTGGTTGTCATGGCTGCCCTTGGAGAGGCGCTCTGTCCCATCATCGTCGGCAACGTGAGTACCTCGACACACATAGGTAGACTGTGATCATTTCATTTCCACGTAGAGCCTCTGCACGGTTCGATCCCCGGCGCGTCATACCAAAAGTCGTTAAAAAATGGTACTTGTTGTTACCCTGCCTGACGTTCGCCATAAAGAGGATGAAACAGGGACTGGTGGACTCGGAGTCTGCACACAGTTTCTGGGTGGGCTATGCATTGTCGCCATTGTTTGGAGACCCTTATACCACTGGGAGTTTAGTTTCCTGGACTGTGTTAATTAATATATTTTACTGTCTTTGGTGTATTGGTATAGACCTATAAACGTTTATGTCATCACATCAGATCTCAATTGTAACGTATGTGGGTCCGGTCCGTGTTTACCTCCCTTGAAGTGCCCGTACTGGACAATGTGATATTCATTGTGCTTTTACTTTCAGCTGGTGGTGTCTCTCGGAGCGACGAGTTTTCTGGCCTTCTGCTTTTCAATAGTCCTTGTGACGCTCCTGTTGTACTGGGCGCTCTACATGGCCGGGAAACAGATGGGGAAATATCAAGGTGAGTTGTAGACGCTCTGCACTGTACCTTACTCCTAGTGTCGGTCATAATGTACTGGGTTCTGTACAATAGCTACAGAAGGCCAAATACCAAGGTGAGTTGTAGACGCTCTGCACTGTACCTTACTCCTAGTGTCGGTCATAATGTACTGGGTTCTGTACAATAGCTACAGAAGGCCAAATACCAAGGTGAGTTGTAGACGCTCTGCACTGTACCTTACTCCTAGTGTTGCTCATAATGTACTGGGTTCTGTACAATAGCTACAGGTGGCCAAATACCAAGGTGAGTTGTAGACGCTCTGCACTGTACCTTACTCCTAGTGTCGGTCATAATGTACTGGGTTCTGTACAATAGCTACAGAAGGCCAAATACCAAGGTGAGTTGTAGACGCTCTGCACTGTACCTTACTCCTAGTGTCGGTCATAATGTACTGGGTTCTGTACAATAGCTACAGGTGGCCAAATACCAAGGTGAGTTGTAGACGCTCTGTACTGTACCTTACTCCTAGTGTCGGTCATAATGTACTGGGTTCTGTACAATAGCTACAGGTGGCCAAATACCAAGGTGAGTTGTAGACGCTCTGTACTGTACCTTACTCCTAGTGTCGGTCATAATGTACTGGGTTCTTTACAATAGCTACAGAAGGCCAAATACCAAGGTGAGTTGTAGACGCTCTGTACTGTACCTTACTCCTAGTGTCGGTCATAATGTACTGGGTTCTGTACAAAAGCTACAGAAGGCCAAATACCAAGATCTGTTGTAGACGCTCTGCACTGTACCTTACTCCTAGTGTCGGTCATAATGTACTGGGTTCTGTACAATAGCTGCAGGTGGCCAAATACCAAGGTGAGTTGTAGACGCTCTGTACTGTACCCTACTCCTAGTGTCGGTCATAATGTACTGGGTTCTGTACAATAGCTACAGAAGGCCAAATACAAAGGTGAGTTGTAAGGTCCAAGGTCAATGCGTCTCTTCAAAAGCTCTGTACTAAAAAAAAACCTGGGCCCATATTTATGTAATTTAAAATAAAATTATTCTCTAAATATGTTGAAGGTAGTTGTTATAGCATGTGGCCTCAGGTATAGTCAGTTGTAGATTCTTCAAGGTGAACACTTAAAAACATTTTAATTAAATGCACTCTGTATATGTATAATAACAACTTCTTAGTTTGTATGTTTGATTTAATCACATGTTTTCAGTAGCCAGTCCGAGATCATTCGTCTGGTTAAGCAGTAACCCCGTGGCTGCAGCAGGGGAGAGCACTCTGATCGACCCGTCAAGTGTCAAGTATTACTCGCGCATGCCGGAGAGCGACAGCAACGTGGAGATGGCCGCGATCGAGCCCCATCAACCGAACAACACTGAGCACCAACAACCATATGAATCTTAGTTTAACGAATCTGACAAATATCTATTTTATATTTCATTGTTGCGTTAATGAATGTATGTTTTATTGCAATACTACATATTCATTATATCTGCACGTTAATGAGTGGTGATATTTCGTATGAAACTCCACACTAGGAATTACTGCGTAATCGTTGAAATCCTTTTTAAAAGGGGTATCTTTCAAAGGAAACACTTTTTATTTTATATGAAGATGACATGTTATGTCTTTTGAAGTTTCAAATTTATATGTGTTACTTAATGTTAGACAAGAATTATTAAAGGTTGTTAAGGACCGACTATTTGATGTTGTGTGGGGTGGGGTGGGGTTGGAGACTGTTTGGAGACTGTTTGGAGACTGGGTAGTAATCAGATCTTTATTTAATTAAACCTATGAAACTATGAACCTAATTATTATTCATAAAAACCCACCTTGCAACAATGTATATTTTGTGACAGACATTTTTTATTAGTCTGTAGCATTATTTCATTTCTGTTCCGTGACAATTTGGGGTTTTTTTTCGATAAGATTACAGACCCACCCCCATACCACCCCCAGAATATGAAATAGTCGGTCCCTTAGGATGTTTAGCATTTTCCAACTGACCGAGTTTTGTTAATTCAGTTTGTGCAACACTTACAAATGTTTTGTCAGTGAAGATGAGCAGCGCATGGGTTAACCGCCCTTCATCAAATCAAGTGATTTTTACCCCCTACCTACAACCTAGCCTGTCCCTCATCCCTCTCCTCCCATTTGTCTGACCCCTTGCGATATGGTTCACTAACTGTCCACACCCGATACCTACATGTACATGAACTGTTCCGGTTATTTTATGTCGGTTGAGAACAAACAAGTTGCAAGTGATTCCGTGACATTTGATTGGCTTGCGTTGCTTATATGCCACACCCACTAGTTTATCACTGTTTCCTGATTAGTTGACAATATAATGGGCGGGACTTGTGTGGCAGTACTGCATTACTTTATTTAACTGTTATTACGATTTGAAGCCGAAAATTATTTCAAATTAACACCTCAGAATGGTAGTTTCCATACATAAGTAAACCTCGTTGTTGACTTGAAACCCCGCTACTCTGGAACAATTTAGCCTGCCCAGTTTAGAAGCAGCTATGGAATGGTTGCATCCAGTATTTTTTGGGACACGTGATACGAGCCAGATATAACTAAACTACTAGCCATCACCGCTACAAGTGCAGTCATATCAAACACCATAAACGCACCCCCCACCCCCACCCCGCTCCCTCCCACTGTCATCTCAGCACCCACACTCACCCCTCTCTCTTCACATCAACCATCACGAACGCAGCCCCTAGCCCCAACCCCACTCACATCAACTATTATGTACGCATCCCCTCCCCCTCTCCCACCACACCAACCAATCATGAACGCCTCCCTCAACTTCGCTGTCCCCGCCCATTACTCCCCCCCCCCCCACACACACACACACCCCACCCCCTCCCACTACCCTAACCTCTCCCCATGTAATCATCGCCAGTATTATGTAGCTTCTGTCACGTGATAACGACGACTAAATCGTTGTGATATGTATATGTTTGTGTATATTGTTTATGACTGTAATTATGTACAATGTTGTTATTGACCTTTCTGTTGTTTGAAACCACGGCAATACGTGAAACAGTTTCACTTGTTAAACCTTTACTTATAGTTTATGCTTTCTGGACAGTGACATATTTGTCAGTAATATTTAGACAAAAACCTACACCTAATCACTTAAAGATTTTTCTTACTTATAATGTAAAAATCTATTAAATCTAAAAGAAACTTAATATTGTGAAACCGTGAAAATATGACAACCACTTTTTATAAGATTTCCAGATTGATCACTCTTCTGGTAAAGATATTACGCTTTAATACACTTGACATTAAGAACTGAATGTTCGACTTTCTGTCTCGTGGCAGTAATGTTGTTAATAATAATAATGTTTCTAGCGTTCCGACAGCGAGTCGGCTACAGCAGATGTGACTGTGATATATTGTTTATGGGTGTAATTGCTAGTCTGTTGTCTGGTTATAAAAGGACACAGTCGAGCTTGCCAGACATCAGGGGCCAGTTGTGTGGGGAACAGTACCTGCTGGGAAAACACACTTTGTTTGATGACGTCGTCATGTTAGCGGACTTGTTTCATCAGATGGTCAATCCGACATTAAACCTCAAGTAACTTTTTTTCTTATTTTTGGTTTCTACGTATGCTATACCTGTCGTACTTCGCAGGTACGTAACAAGGTGAATCTACCCGGCGTAGCTCGCTGTTTCAAGGTGAATCTACTCGGCGTAGTTCGCTGTTTCAAGGTGAATGTACCTGGCGTAGCTCGCTGGTTCAAGGTGAATCTACTCGGTGTAGTTCGCTGGTTCAAGGTGAATCTATCCGGCGTAGTTCGCTGTTTCAAGGTGAATCTATCCGTCGTAGCTCGCTGGTTCAAGGTGAATCTACTCGGCGTAGTTCGCAGTTTCAAGGTGAATCTACCTGGCGAAGCTCGCTGGTTCAAGGTGAATCTACTCGGTGTAGTTCGCTGGTTCAAGGTGAATCTACCTGGCGTAGCTCGCTGGTTCAAGGTGAATCTACCCGGCGTAGTTCGCTGTTTCAAGGTGAATCTACTCGGCGTAGTTCGCTGGTTCAAGGTGAATCTACTCGGCGTAGTTCGCTGGTTCAAGGTGAATCTACCCGCAGTTGTTCGCAGGTACAAGGGGAATCGCAGGTTCAAGGTCAACCTACCATTGATGAGTATGATATTCTGTCGTAGTATCCCGTTGTAGGTGAATCTACCCATCAAACCTGGGCGTTAATAGTCAACAAATATTGATGAAGACAAGTTTAGACTTGTACTGGCGCAAGTATAAATTATCGATGTTATTTCCAATAATATATTGTATTCTAGATGGTTGCCAACCACCTTCAGGCCTGTGTCATTTCTTGGAGCCAGTGGCATTTTTCATTACAGTTTTTGAAGCGTGTATTATTTTCTCGTTCGCTGTAGTTTTGTAGCCTTGAGCACCTCTCCGTAATGTCAGATGGTATGATGCTTTACACAACACCACGGAACACGTGTAGACTTGGTAGGGAACGACGCATGTGAGGTTTACCACCAGCCAGCTGACCCTGCTTGATTGCTGATGATGGAGAGGTAGAGTAGGAGTGGTACGTTTGCCTCCTCAATCAATAATACACAAAATAACTTATATCAAACGCACAGTGTCTGTTTAGTTGCCGATGTTTGTTGTGCCTCTTTGAATAGATGGCAGTGCTCAGTTCCTGATTTTTAGGGCATGTTTTCTCCATGTGTTCCAAGGTTAAGTTTGCAGAAAACAATTAAAAAATGTTTCACAAATAACACAACGAAAAAATAATTACTGCTTCAAGTCATTCATTGTACACATACCTGAGCCCATGTGTCCAGCAAGTCCATGTTTCTATAAATTTAAAATGAACTGGCAGGCCAAAAAAAAGTATACACTAAAAAATTGGATTTGTCTAATTTTTTACAAACGTTATCAAAACATAAAAGGCTGAAAACAGTCGCTGAAACACGGAAAACTTAAGGTTCAAAACGCGGGTATGATAACGTATCAAGTACATCACTATCGAACCATTTCTGATTTGTTTCATTTTAACCGCCATGAAACATGGGTGTATACTTTCTTTTGCCCGGCAATGTAGATCCGAGATACACGCTCGCAGTCTGTATGTTCCGAATTCGCTGTACCTCAATTAGGTGATGATAACCGCAGAAGCCGAATGAACCCGCATGTGTCAGATTACGAGAAGGGTCGATGATGTCCGACTCAATACTAACCATTTTGGGTACTCGGGTGATGAAGCAATTGGCACAGCTTATTATTTATTGCTGAATTGTTGTGTATATAAACATATATGTGTTACAATATTCTTATGCTCAATGAGTGTTTGTGTATATATGAACTGTGGTCCTCGCTAGATCGAACGTTGTTTTATATTGTTAGTCTGTGATATTCGTTGTTGTTTTGTAACGTGTATAGATGGTGATGATGATGAGGGGATGAGACGACGCGCGAGATGCTGCAATTATGAGCCATCACGATACGCATCACGATACGCACCATGATTTATACTTCACGATACGCATCACGATTTATACTTCACGATACGCATCACGATTTATACTTCACGATACGCATCACGATTTATACTTCACGATACGCATCGAGATAACACCTACTTTATTTCGATATAACCGTTACGATATGTGTCACATGCACCTTACGATACGTATTGCAGTATCTGGCCAGCGATACGTGTTACGATGTCTACTTTACGATACGTATCGCAATGGAGATATCATGAGAGACTTAAACTTCCTTTCAGCGATCAGTTGATGCAGTTGGGAACTGGGGATAGGAAATGTTTGCTTAAGTGTGTTTCTCTAGCTTGGAATCGAGCGTCTGGTGTATCGTGGATGTGTGTAGTGAGATGCTTATGCTCAACAGGGACTCGTCTCATCCGCAATGGAACTTACCGTGCAATATGACGATGGTATGGTTGTTGTGTGTGTCCTCATGGGTCAACCACATAGCTCTATTAAGCACATCTTCCCGAGGCAAGGGTGTTAACTGCGTTATATAATTCCGGAGTAAAATTTTGGCTGGACTAACGAGTCTATGCATAGACCAATCAAATTCGCGTAAAGACCTAGACATCCGGCTTTTGAACAACATGGATTTCAACGTGCAAATTTCGGTCGACTGCAGGAATTGCAAAGCAATAGTACCGTCAACTGGGTGTTGACAGATATTTTGCAATTTTATTCATGTTTTGAGTCAAGGTGCTCAAGTGATTTCATGCACTTCGTGGGGTAAGACCCGTTTTATTACAATATAGATCTTGATTATCGATCAGATCGTCTTGACTGTGCGCCGCCATTTTGTTTGAAGCAAATGCAAGTGATATGAGAGATGGATCTGATTGGTCAGAAGAAGGGACATAGAATAGACGTAACTCGTAATAGCCACAGGTGGCGCTACGATCGAGCCTCGAAATTCCAGCCTAGTTCGGCAAGGGTGGAAACTGGAGTTTTATAGTCAGTTAACGCCCTTGCCTCGGGAAGATGTATTAAGGACCAAGCTATACAATATAAAGGGCTTGCTATAAAAACTGTACTGTATGTTTTACTTATATCAGTATGTATTTATCAGGTGTGCAATAAAAATATCTGCTCCTGTCGATATATTCCGCGGTGCACTCTACCAAACAGTTGAAGGCCTATGTCGAAATGTTGACCAATATAGGATTGTAGTACATGTACAACGTGCGTGCGGTAAATGAACCCTCCTTTAGGAGGTCTTAGGTTGATTCTTGACAAGCAATACATCTATTATACATTGTTGATATCAAATCAGCTGCAACTTGACATGTTCCTTGATTTCCGCTATGAGCAATAATAACAAGGGTAATTGTCCTGTCGTCTATCCTTTATACTCGGCATGGTCTTATATAACTGTTTCCAATCGTCCAAGTCTGTTGGCGGGCCATCGCGGAACCAGCATAATTGTAGTATTGGCTTGCTTAGTGAGTGAAGGTGGTCCTGAGATGACCAGCAGTTGTGTAAATATACTGTAAATCGTGAAATTCATGTGTCACAAAATCAGTGTCGACCCTTGGCCTAAAATGCGTCATAAACTTAATGCAAGTAGCCCTGACAGAACTGGAAAAACTAAACATAAAAAAACTGATACCAACACCGTAGGCTGGATAGTATGAGGCGATAGCTGTTTGAACGAATACTATCATTTGCTATCTTCACAAACTTAACTTCAACTGCTTGACGTGAAATCAAACTAAGGAAATTCCAAAAGCGCATTTTCAAGTGAGATAGGTCGGGTCACCGAAGATTGCAAGATGTTATACTAGTGTTGTTACACGAGAGAGAACAATCCTTTGAACGTAGGGGGCACGGGTGGCCCAGTCGCCTAAAAGGCCGCGATTCGCTGTGCATAGTTGCGTCCCTTGGGCACGCCAGAAACCTATGATTGTGGGTTCGGATCCCGGTTCGCCCCGATTATGTTTCTAGGTTTGTCAGCACCATACCCGTGCTCGTGGGTTTCACGGAAGTGGTAAACGTCTGAGACCTGTATCACTTCGGGCTTTCCTCCCACATTAAGCTGACACGCCACGATATAATTGGAATACTGTTAAAAGCAGCGTTAAACCCAACTCACTCACTCACCTTTGAACGTAAATTAGCAGTTTTATGTTTTCCCCACAAGTTTTGCTGCACATGTTCACTACGTGCGTGAGCAGTGTCACACTATTAATGCAAGCAATTAAACTTGGAACTTTCGCATTGAATTCATGATTTACAGTAACCAATAGAGAATATAGGTCAGTCAAACATTTTAGCATATCTTTTTATGTACACTTTATGTCCTAGCAATACATAA